GATGTGGGTTATTGCCAAGAGCCTAGTTTTAAATGGTAAGTTTGTGGGTTCTTACTGCATTATTCAAATTAACTTAATAAAAGAAAGTTATAAAGGAAGATGAGGGTGAGGCAGGAGAATCAGCAAGTCCTTAACAACTCCATGTACCTATCTTTTAAATAAGATTTTTTAAATGTTTAAAAAATACTAGATTTATAAAAAAGTAAATATCTGTATAATCCTATCATATTTTGGATGTGGAAATTAGGAGTTTCTCCCACTACTCCTCCCAATCCCAGAGGCAACCTCAGTAAGTTTGAGGTGGGCACTTCCTAACTTATGAAATGACAATATAAAAGGGAGCACTTTAGCTTCTTCAACTCCCCACCTGATAAATTTCAACTCCCCACTTTGGTAAAAATATCCCTTTAAATGTCCTCAAAAGCATTTACACACATACAGTTGCCATGGTGTGAGGCTACGTGAAGATTGATGTAAGGTGAATGGACCCAGATCCTGGAACTCCCAGAAGCTTGCAAAGCAGAAATGATTAGGATTGACTGAATGCATGAGTTATTGAATAAATATATAAATGTAAAGAAGGTTGCTTTCACCCCAAATAACCAAAGCAATCTTAAGCAAGAAAAACAAAGCTGGAGGCATGACACTTCTTGATTTCAAAATGTATTACAAAGCTACAGTAATCAAAACAGCATGATATTGGTATAAAAACAGATATATAAAACAGCGGGACAGAATAGGGAGCCCAGAAATAAATCCATGCATCTATGGTCAATTGATCTTTGACAGGGGTGCCAAAAACACAATGGGAAAAAGATAGTCTCTTCAGTAAATGGTGCTGGGAAATCTGGATATCCACACACAGAAAAATTAAATTGGACACTTGGCTCATACCATATACAAAAATCAACTCAAAATAGATTAAAAACTTAAATGTATTAATAAGACCTGAAACCATAAACTCACTAGAAGAAAACATAGGAAAAAAGCTTCTTGACATTAGACTGCACCATGATTTTCTGGATATGACGCATAAAGCACAGGCAACAGAAGCAAAAATAGACAATCAGGATTGCATCAAAGGAAAAAGCTTCTGTACAGCAAAGGAAACAATCAACAGGGTGAAAAGGCAACTTCCAGAATGGGGGAAAACATTTGCAGATCACATATCTGAAAAGGGGTTAGTATCCAAAATATATAAGGAATTCATATAACTCAATTGGAAAAACAAAACAAAACAAAAAACCAAATAACTCAATTTAAAAATGGGCAAAGGACCTGAACAGACATTTCTCATAAGAAGACATGTAAACGGCCAACAATACAGTGCAGGAAAAGATTTTCAACATCATTAGTCATCATGGAAATACAAATCAAAACTATAATGAGATATCACCTCATACCTGTTAGGATGGCTATTAAAGACAAGAGGTAACAAGTACTGGTGAGGTTGTAAAGAAAAGGGAACCCTTGTACACTGCTGGTGGGAATGTAAATTGGTACAGTCATTATGGAAAACAGTATGGACATTCCTCAAAAAATTAAAAATAGAACAACTTTATGATCCAGCAATCCCACATCTGGGTATATATGAAAAGAAATGAAATCAGTATTCCAAAGAGATATTTGCACTCCCATGTTCATTGCAACATCATTCACAGTAACCAAGATATGGAAACAACTAAATGTCTGTTGACAGATGAATGCATAAAGAAAATGTGATATATAGATATAAGTCTACCGATAATGTGGGGTGCACACACACATTCACAGACACACATATAATTCAGCCTTAAAAAAGAACGAAATCCTGGCCAGGTGCAGTGGCTCACGCCTGTAATCCTAGCACTCTGGGAGGCCGAGGCGGGCGGATTGCTCAAGGTCAGGAGTTCGAAACCAGCCTGAGCAAGAGTGAGACCCCCGTCTCTACTATAAATAGAAAGAAATTAATTGGCCAACTAATATATATATATAGAAAAAATTAGCCAGGCATGGTGGCACATGCCTGTAGTCCCAGCTACTTGGGAGGCTGAGGCAGCAGGATTGCTTGAGCCCAGGAGTTTGAGGTTGCTGTGAGCTAGGCTGACGCCACAGCACTCACTCTAGCCTGGGCAACAAAGTGAGACTCTGTCTCAAAAAAAAAAAAGAAGAAGAAGAAGAAGAAGGAAATCTGCCATTTGCAACAACATGGATGAACCTGGAGGACCATATGCTAAGTGAAATAAGCCAGGCTCTGAAAGACAAATACTGCATGATCTTACTTATATACCAAATCTAAAGTAATCAAAGTCAGAGAGGCAGAGAGTAGAATGGTGGTTTCCAGGGACTGGGATGAAGGAGAAATAGGAGAGCGTTGGTCAAAGGATACAAGAGTTCAGTTAATGCAGGATGAATAAGTTCTAGAGATCTAATGTACAACATTGTGCCTATAGTTAATACTATTGTATTGTATACTTGAAATTTGTTAAAAGGAAATCTTAAGATCTTAAGTGTTCTTACCACAAAAAAAAAAGAAAGGAAAAAGAAAATATTAACTATGTGAAGTGCTAGATATATTAATTAGATTGATTGTGGTGATTATTTCACAGTGTATATGTATATCAAAACATCAAGTTGTACACCTTAAATATATATACTTTTTACTTGTCAGTTATACATCAATAAAGCTGAAAAGGAATTTTGAGCAAATTTCCTCAATTTAGTATTTGTTTTATGTAAAAATTAGCTATGAGCATTAGTTTTCAAATATATATGTTATAAAACACACACAAACTTTTAAAGAATGAGATTTTAAATAATTATTATGTGATGATATCTTAGTAGGAGCAAAGTGATAAAATAAGTTTTATTATTTTTAAAAATTTTAGATACCAGTGATCAGGCATGGTGGCTCATACCTGTAATCCTAGCACTCTGGGAGGCTGAGAAGAGAGGATCACTTGAGGTCAAGAGTTTGAGACCCACCTGAGCAAGAGTGAGACCCCATGTCTACAAAAATTAGCTGGGCATGGCGGCATGCTCCTGTAGTCCCAGCCATTTGGGAGGCTGAGGCAGGAGGATCACTTGAGCCCAGGAGTTTGAGGCTGCAGTGAACTAGGATGATTTCACTGCACTCTACCGAAGGCAACAGAATGAGAGCCTGTCTCAAAAAAAAAAACCCAAAAAATAAAAAAGTTTTGAAATGCATGTTTGTAAATAAAGAAAATGTTCAATTTGCAGGATTGTAAATAATTAAAATTTGTGTTGTGGAACATTGTATGTAAGAGTATATAAAAATAAACAGTTTAAAAGAAAAAAGGTTGCTTTCCTTTGCTTCAAGCAGAAAAAAAAAAGTCAAGGGCATTTAATGGGTGGTGAGTAACAGTGGGGCCAGGAATAACCTGAATTCCTCTGGCAAGTCATCCGGACAGACGTGCACTGCATCCAGCGTGTACCAAGCCCCTGGCTGGATGCAGAAAGGGTGCAGAGATGAGTAAGACTGGTGCCCGCCCTCAAGAAGTTCAGAGTCTAGTAGGGGAGATAAGTGTCTATACAAATGCTATTTTATACAAAAATATAGAATTTAACTAAGGCTTACCAACAATGACAAAAAAGATGATGAGAGCACAGTGACAAGGGGAAGGAGTTGTCTGTTTGAGAACGTGAGTCACCTTGAGCTGGGATCCGGAAGAAACTCCAGGAAGAGCCTTGTTGGAGAAGGCAGTGAACAGGGGCTTGGAGAGAAGACACTTGAAGGCTTAGGAAGGGTGGGTGAGAAGAAGCGAGGACAGGGGGCATGAGGAAGGCAGCATCTAAATCTGCATCACGCTCCTGGACTCTCCAGAAGGCCCAAGAGTCCCTGAGGATGAGGCTGATGTGACAGAAGTGCTAGGAGGACTGGACACAGAGGCTGGGTCGGGTGCTCTTGAGGGACATATGGAGGGCTGTGACAGCCCGGGACCCACCACCTGGGGAGCTTGTCTCTGGAGGCCAGGTCTACTGTGGGCGAGCGGGCTCCCTGCCTGGACAGCCAAAGCAAGGGCTGGGTGGGCAGGCTGATAGGAAGGAAGTGAGGAAGGTACAGGCAGTGGAGTGAAGTGGTTAGGGACATGGGTCTGGACCCTTGAGTTGACGTCCCAGATCTCCCACTTTCTAGCTCCTTAATCCTGGATCAAAACTTAAACTCTCTGTTCCTCAGATTCCTCATTTGTAAAATGTGGACAATAAAATCCCCTAAGTCGTAGAGCTGCAGTGAGCAGGAAATGAGTTGACAAATACAAAGTACTAGCACAGAGTTATCACTCATTAACATTAGCTAGGATTATTCTCTAGGCACTTGACCTGGGTGCTCCATTTCTCTGTCCCCACTGATTTTTTCAAAAACTGGCTCCATTTTCATCCAGGGCCAAGTCATTCAGTGGATCAAAACATGCACTAGGGAGGCCCACGGGTTGAGGCTCAGTCTCTATATGGATCCATTAATGTGTCTTGGTTCTGCATCAGAGACGCGTGGCTCCAGCCCCAGCTGCAGCCCCAGCCCCAGCCTGGGGCGCCAGCCATGGAGAAGCAGGTGCCCTTGGTCATGAGGGCACCTGCAGGAAAGCAGAGGTGCTCCAGGGACCCCACCCCCCACCAATCAATCAGTTTGGACCCCACCAGTCCCATCATTCTTTAATTTTCTCAAATAAGGAGAGAGATGAAATATTTTCAATCATAGGCATCAATCCCTTTTCTTCCCACCCACACTTCCCATCTCCTCCAATCCCTCCCACAAAGCTAACATCCCAAAGAAGAGTCTTGTCACTCCTGCTGCTCTGGAGAAAGTCTCAGCCTCAGAAGACCAAAAGACAAGGTCCTTGCAGGCAGCAGGACCGCCAGGCAGCCCAGGCGCTCCGAGGCATAGGTGCTGGCAGCGGACAGCCTATATATGGAGCTGCCAGGAGAGCGACTGTTTCCAGGGTGAGCCCGCACTGCCTTTCAGGAAACTCGGAACCTAGCAACTCAGAACCTAGCAACGTAATTGAAGCCTGCCTCGCTCACCTCTCACCCTCCACCACCCGCCCAGCTCCTGCTCTGCAGCACAGGGCTGCTTGGGAGGGTTTGCTGCCCTGCCGGTGCCCAGCAGCTGGGTGAACTCTGCTCACGCGTGTTTCCCAAAAAGCCCTGGAGGAAATCCGGGTCTTCCACGGTGGTGTGGGGTTTTGACCTCAACAACAAGGCCCTGGTGGTGGAAATAATAACAACCCAGGGAAAACAGAGGGACAAAATGGCTAAAGGAGACAGCACAAAAGCACAGTCCGGGAAAGTGAATCAGCCCAGACTCTCCCACTTGGAAACAGACAGTGTGTGTTTGGCGTGATGACTGATTCTCCTCTTACTCGCTGTCATGAAAACAAAGCAACCATAGGGGCCATGGCAGATTGGACAAGAGGAATTAAGGAATCCATGGACTGGCAGGATGCATCTGTGAAGATACACTGGGTCCTCATGAGGACCTGCCCACACCAACTCCCAGACCACCTCCTACCTCCACCTGCAGGGTGGCAAAATGGCCTCCACAAGAAGTAGCTCAATGGGGCTCTGTCCTCTCCTTGCCAATACCAGGATGAAGAAGCAGGTGTGATGGCCACAGGACCAGGAAAGACCATGGATATAGGCAGCAAAGTCCAGGGAGATTTGCTTAGACAGAAATCCGCATAAGTCTGAAACTAGCACGGAGAAGAAATGGTTAAGGAAACAGAAAGAGAGAGTGAGGGGGAGAGGGGCAGGGGGCACATCCCAGAAACCAAAGCCAGGTGTGGCAGGGTTACCAGCTGCAGCCCTGAAGGCAATCCTGTCACACTGAGCCTTTGAAGAGGGACCCCTCCTGTCTAGGGCCAGAACTAGTTTCTAACTGGCCTCTGGTCACTTTTTTCCTTATTTTAACAAAGATGTATTTGATTTAATAGGCTTCTGTCTCAGTGATATTTGAATATATTTTCTTGTCTCAATGAAGGTTGTTTTGACCATTCTTCCATATCTTTATTTCATTGCTTCTCTTCCTAATTTTCAGGCTTCCAGTTCTACCTTCTTTCTATTACTTTCTCTTACCTTCCCATCCTGTGTATTAAACTTTATTCTTTTAAAAAATATCTGCCTCTATATTTCAGCCTTTTTATTTTAAAAAATTTAACCTTTTAAAATTCTGCCTTTGCTTTTTTTTTTATATATTCCTTTAAAATGTTGCTTAGTTAGATATTTACGGATCAAATACTTTCTATTGTATTTAGTTTTAGTTCAACTTTTTATTCATAAATTGTTGGTTTTTAAAAAAAATCCCTGCTATTAACTACATCAGTCATGATTCAGAATAGCCATGTGGCAGATTATACTTCCTAAAAACGGCCACAATATTTCCTTCTCACATGCTCTTCCAGAACTTTGCCACTCTCCCATCAAGAGGAGTCGTCTAAGTCCCCTCCCCTTGAACAACCTGGGTGGGTCTTTATGACTGATTTGACTAATAGAGTATGGCAGAAGTGATGTATGGGACTTTTGACGCTAAGTAATAAAGGTGATTAATTCTCTCTTCTGTCTCCTCTCTCCTCTCTTCTGTCTCTCTCTCTCTCTCTCTCTCAAAGCTAGCTCTTGGAACCCAGTCACTATGCTATGAGGAATCCAGGCCACATGGAAAGGCCCACGTGGACAGGAACCAAGGAACCCAGCTGACAGCCAGCACTAGTCAGCCCACTGCATGAGTGAGCCCTTGTGTAAGTAGATCCTCTAGTCTTGGGCTGAGCTCCTCCAACTTATGTGGGGTAGAACAAAGATGAGCCTTCCCTGCCAAGCCCTGCCCAAAATAAATGACAGTTACTGTTTTAAGCCACTAAGTTCTGGGTGGTTTGTTATGGCAGCAATAAGATAACTGAAACTGGGAAATAGAAACTACTTTCTGTATTTTAAAGAGGAAAAGCTTTATTAGAGAATAGTAAATACACAATTTTTGGAAGGGCTGGAATGAATCTCAGAATGTAAAATTATCAAGTTCAAAAATACACCATAGTAGATGGAATACAGGGATAGGAAGTGTGCTGGACAACACAACCACCTTTCAACACCTAAGAAGCCGGGGAGTGCTCACTGGAGCCTTGCTTTGGGAAAACCTCGACATGGCTTGATGGCACCAAAGGAGACAGGAAGATGACTGTGCCCCGCACCCAATTTCCAAATATCACACAAGGCATCTGCTTGGTATTACCTAATTTGCATTCAGAAATCTAGCTATGAAGGGGTCTGAGGATGATAGCTTTCAGCTCTCCAGTCGCTGCAGTAGTGGGAGGCCCTTAGAAGCGAGGAGAGAGAGAGATCAAGCAAATTGGTCAAAAGTATCCACATCTGTCTTCTACCCAGTAGTGACATCAACTTCCATCTTTTCAAACTGTTTTTGCTTTATTCTCATCTTTTCTTCTTGAGGGAAAAGAAAGAGACCCCCCCACTGGACAAAGTTGACACTTAAGGGTTAATAGAAAAGCAATGGCTTAAAATAAACATGGAGAATACCCAGGAAAACTCTCAAGGCCCAGAGGGCAACCTATAAAGTCCTCTAAACAGATTGAGACTTTTGTAACCACTTTTGCCCTCTAATAGTACCCTTTAGCTCATTTTATTATTAAAATCCCTGCCCAGAGGAAAGTTATAATATCATTAACATAACATGGTCGCATAAAGACACATGGTGGATATATTGCACCTCCTTAATATGGTTAGCCTGTGTACATACCATGACTTCAGGAAAGACTCCACATCATTCACTGAAAAGAAATTTAAGGTGCCACAATAGGCAGGTAGCCCATTTTACTCCCCAGAGAAGTCCTGTGCCACCCAGGAGTGAGTGGCCTGCGTAAGTAACCGCCAATAAACTCATTTGACTCGCCAAGCTGGATTTGTCTGAGTCACTTTTTGGTTTCTCAGCACCATCTCAGTCCAGAGGGAGGTTTTTCTAAACCATCCAGAGATTTTTCCGAAACACTTCTCCATCTTTATCATTAATACCTCGTTTTTCACTATTTGATTTTGTACTGGCTAGCAGAATTAGTAGATATAATAACAATAGCACCAAGGGGACTGCACACTATAAGAACGGGAGTATAAAACCTTCTGTTGGACCAGCACGGTGGCTCACACCTGTAGCCCTAGCACTTTGGAAGGCCCAGGAGGGAGGATTGCTTGAGGCCAGGAGTTTGAGACCAGACTGAGCAACACAGTGAGACCTCATTTTTACAAAAAGTAGAAAAATTAGCTGAGCATGGTGGTGCACACTCATGGTCTAAATACCCTGATGTCAGGCCAGGCGCGGTGGCTCACATCTGTAATCCTAGCACCCTGGGAGACTGAGGCGGGAGGATGGCTCAAGGTCAGGAGTTCGAAACCAGCCTGAGCAAGAGTGAGACCCTGTCTCTACTAAAAATAGAAAGAAATTAATTGGCCAACTGATATATATAAAAAAAAAAATTAGCCAGGCATGGTGGTGCATGCCTGTAGTCCCAGCTACTCGGGAGGCTGAGGCAGGAGGATCGCTTGAGCCCAGGAGTTTGAGGTTGCTGTGAGCTAGGCTGACACCACGGCACTCTAGCCCAGGCAACAGAGTGAGATTCTGTCTTAAAATAAAATAAAATATTAAATAAATAAATAAATACCCTAATGTCAAAACCAGAACCCAGAAGTCAACCCTGATTCCTTCCTCTTCCTTCTCCCGCACGTGTGACTCTTCACCCACACGTGTCCATTGCAGAATAGCTCCTAAATCGCTGCCGACTCTGAAAGCGTCTCCCTTCCCACCGCCACCACTCGGTTCAGGCTTCAGGGCCTCTTTCACTTGAATTGCTGCAGCAGCTTCCTAACTGATCTCCTCTCCAGGCTGCCTTCCCTGATGGGGTCAGACTGGTCTTTCTAAGGTAAGAATCACATCTCCTACATGGCTTAAACCTCTTCAATGGCATCTTATTGCCCTAGGGATAAACTCCAGATGCCTAAACCTGCTAAAAACGTCCTCCATGGCCCTGAGCTTGTCTGTCTTTCCAGCCTGACTCTACTTCCCCTTTCACTCCTTCCCTCTTTCTCTTCAGGTCCAGCCCTCACAGACTTTCTCCAGTTCCCTGAATCCTTTTTTCCTCCCTTATTCTTTTTCTCTCACCTTCTGGCCTTTGCACATACTGTCCCTTTTGCCTATAACATTCTCCCCACTTTAACCTTTCCCCTTTTCTTGGCTAACTTCTACTCAGTCTTCCAGTCTCAATTTGAATGTCACCTCCTTGGGCAAGCCTTCCCTGAACGTCTTGACTAGGTAACTACCTCCTGCCTCATCCTATGATCTCAAACCACCCTGTCCTTCCCCCACACACACATGCATTACACCTTTCTGTAAGAAGTTATAGAACTGGCTGATCCATTAAGTCCTCAATAAATATTTAGATGAATGAATAAATGAGTAAATGAAAGCAAGGATTGGAAGAAAACAGCTAGAAATGAAATTCAGGTCATAGTGACAAATCCCACCCCCATATGAGGAGATACCCAGAAAACAAAGTGCACACATTTGGAGTAAGGCAAGTTATTCCCTATTTCTTAACTGGATATATTGTTGTTGTTGTTCTGAGACAGAGTCTCGCTTTGTTTCCCAGGCTAGAGTGAGTGCCCTGGAGTCAGCCTAGCTCACAGCAACCTCCAACTCCTGGGCTCAAGCGATCCTCCTGCCTCAGCCTCCCGAGTAGCTGGGACTACAGGCATGTGCCACCATGCCCGGCTAATTTTTTCTATATATTTTTAGTTGGCCAATTAATTTCTTTCTATTTTTAGTAGAGACGGGGTCTCACTCTTGCTCAGGCTGGTTTCGAACTCCTGACCTCGAGCAATCCGTCCACCTCGGCCTCCCAGAGTGCTAGGATTACAGGCGTGAGCCACCGCGCCCGGCCTGGGTATACTGTTTCTCACCTCACCTTTCCTAGTTGTGGCAAGTACTTGTGCTTCAACCACATACTTTATTAATTCTGACTCTTAATCCTGAGGCTGTAGTTAAAGCAGATAATATACCCCCATTTCACAGGTGAGAAAATGCAAGCACAGAAAGGATTAGTAATTTGCTCAAGGCACAGTGGCAGAGCTGGGTTGGAATCCATTCCCCTGACTCCCAGGCATGAGGTCTTTACCCCATTGAAGGATTTTCTATGTCTCCTGTAGGCATGTGTCCCTACCAAGTGGAGGGGTCACTGGTTAGGCCTTGTTGGAACAAATGTTTAGAAGTTCTGTTGGAGTTCCTTCCATTCCTTTCCTACCCTGTACCAGAAACCCTCTGTACTTCAGTAATAAAACCAGTTCTGTTCCGGGCCCCCATTGCTGTTTCCTGGGGAGGTGACCTCCGGGGCCCTCCCCCTCGTGCTCTGCCTGAATACAGCTCCCTTCTGGAGCCTTCACATGACACACAGCGTGAACGTGTGGGACCCACTGGTTGCCAAGCCAAATGTGGCTCCAGATTATTCTAGGAAACAAATAAATTGTTTTGCTCTGGATTGAAGGAATTGCTAATTAGGGATTTTTATTTTGAGCAGTGTTCCTTGGAGCTGGCAGACAGATGGAGTAGGCGACTTGCTCCAGGAGCATTGTTAAGCAGAGGGAGCTATCCATCTCTGCCCCTAGTTATAAGAACCTGCCAGGGTTCACTGCTGCCCAGCTCCTGCCCTCAGGGACAGAGGCTGAGGCTCTGTGGGAGGCTCCCTGGCTCACAGTGATTTCTTCTTGTCCAGGAACGGCCCTCTAAACACAAGCACAAGCCCCTACTGGCATTGTCAACTGTATATTACCCTGCCTGATAGCCAGATAATTGTCCTAGGGAGAAGAGCAGAGACCTTTCCTGGGATTCCCTACCTGGAACTAAGAATAAGAATCCATTTATCACAGCAGCTGATGCATAGAACACAGAATCTGCCAATGGTCAGGTTTTCAGTCATCAATGGGGGAAAAGAGGAGAAGCTGAGAGCATTCGGAAAACTCTTAGTCTGGTTCTACCAGCTCCTCACAGACACTCAGTTGTGTCCCTGACTCCCTTGTAGGATTGTTGTTTGATTCACGGGCTGATACATTTGGTCGTGGGGGGAGGGGTGCCTAAGCTAATTCAAGTTGTGTCTCTGTTACTTGCTACCTGCAACCAGAAGCTCAGCGTGATGGTGGTGGACAGAATTCAGGGACACACAGAGGACCTAGGTTATGGTTCAATGGACCTAGTTGTGGATTAATTGCCTGGGTATTTTGGAGTCATGTTGTCAGATCTCAGTACAATGACCAATCTTCTTCAAAGAGGTTTAAAGAAAATGATAGCAAGATAGGGGAGGAAGGAAGGTGAAAAGACAGTGAGATGATCTCAGATGAGAGGAAGCAGGAGGAACCCAGGGGCAAAGACACGCCAGATAGGTTTAGCAGGCTTGTTTCTGATTCCAGTGCTGTTCTAGAGCTACAGACCTCTCAGCCTCCTTTTCACCTTCTCAGCACATGGATTGAAAATCAATGCTGTGAACACCATTATCTAATCAAATAAAAACATTTATCAAGATCTAAGTCCATTATTGCCCATGAAGGGAGAATCAGGCACAGACCCAAAGGGGTGGTGGGAGGCTGATTCCAAATCACAGAGTGGGAACAGCATGAAGCCACTCTGTCCCTCCCCCTGCCTCTGATCCTCCTAGAACCCATCCATGTCACACCTGTTCTGTGGTCATCTACCTCACAGCTCTGCCCAGTGTTGACTCTGCCCAAGGAAGGATGGAGAATGCAAGACAAGAGATAGAATGAGTTCCCATTCTCCTATGGGAGAACAGCTTAGAAACTACCTTGGAA